CCATGCTCAGGCAGCTGGAGCATCTTGCCGCCCCAGGGGTGATGTTCTGCCCCAGGGTGTGAGCAGCCTGCCCTTAGAGCTCCTCAGCTGGGACTCTGGGCCTGAACCAGCCCCATTCTTACTCCATTTTTACTCTATTTTTGCTCCATTTTTAACCCATTTTTATACCAATTTTACCTGGATTTTGAACAAATCCAGGTCATCCCCATGCTCAGGCAGCTGGTGATGACCCACAACCCCAAAACCCCACAACCCCATCAGGCGCTGAGCTCTCCTCCCCTTCCCCAGCCCCAAACCCCATCAGAGCGAAATCTCAGAAGGGAAAATCTCCCTGCTGCTACTTACAGGACATGCCCTGGCTTCCAGTCCAGGCAGCTGCCAGCAGCAGGACGAGCAGGGCCAGGGAGATCCTCATGTCCACCCCGAGGTTCTGTCAGCACCAGCAGCTCTGGTTCTGCTCAGCCCACCAGGAGCTTTCTGCCCTCCTACCTGCAGCGCTGGGTGATTTATACCAACCCCTGCCAGGCTTTCCATGACAGCTCTGGACCGTCCCCGTGGAAAGAACTGCTGGGATCTCTCCATGAGGGGCGAGTGGGGAGGGGAAATTCCTCCTGGCAGCCACTTTGGCCACCGTGACAGCCCAGGGCTGCTGAGAGGTGTGGGAGAGGCTGGTGATGCTGGGCTGGGAGTCTATTTTGGGTCGGGTTGTGGCCACCAGCAAAGAGCACAGGATGATGCTCGCACTTGTGAGTTCCTGTGCAAAAACCACTCCTTGCCATTGGCTCTGGGGCCTCTGCTTGCTCTGGGGTGGTGGCCGGGGTTGTTTCTCCATCTGTCACAGACATCTTTTATGAAAAATCCTTTCCTAAGGATTTTTCCTCCTGAGAAGCTCAGAGGCCTCAGGAAAAAAATGTAAACAATGGTTATCTGCTGCTGTGGAATGCAACAGGTGCATCTGTGATTGGTCTCATGTGGTTGTTTCTAATTAATGGCCAATCAAAGTGAACTAGCTTGGACAGAGAGCCTGAGCCACAAGCCTTTGTTATCATTCTTTCTTTTTCTATTCTTATCTCACCTTCTGAGGAAATCCTTTCTTCTATTCTTTTATATAGTTTTAGTATAATATATATCATAAAATAATAAATCAAGCCTTGTGAAACATGGAGTCAGATCCTCATCTCTTCCCTCATCCTCAGACCCCTGTGAACACGGTCACATCCATCACCCATTGCTGGGTGGCTCTGCCACTGTCACAGCACCCATCACATGTCCTGGTGGCATTCCTGGCATTTTGGGCTGCCTGAGATCCCCCTCTGAGGGAATTTGGGCTGTTAATTGGGACGGTGGATGAGGAGCACAGGAGGCCCCCTCCGCCCGGCCATGCTGTCCCTCTGGTTCCTCCTGGGTTTGGTTTGGCCCCATTCCCCCCTGGACACCCTCACGGAGGCCTGGCTGAGGCTCCAGCTGCTCCTGGCTCCTTGCTGGTCCCAACACCTGGGCAGGAAAGGCGGCAGCAGGACCTGCCCAGGCCCCAGAGACTCGCACACACAGATGTTTGCACGTGGGAATCGCGTTTAATTCTGGACAGAGTCGACAAAACACAACAGAGGAGCTGCTCTCCCTTCACCCCCAGCCTGCTGCAGCCTCTCCATGGACCACAGAGGGTCTGAACTCTCCATCCTGGTGGGCTGGAAAAGGCTGGAAGAGGCTGGAAAAGGCCTCCTCCTGTGGTGAGGGTCATGGTGGTGGGGAGGATGTCTCTCGTGAGCTGCTCCATCCAGAAATGTCCCCTCTGCCGGTGTGGTGTCCCCCACAGGGCTGTCCCCAGCCACCCCCCTAGCTGGGGATGGAGAAGGAGCTGACTTGGAAGCTCTGCTGGTACCTCTTGACCCACGGCCTGCTGGCCTGCGTGCAGATCTCCTTCCCGTTCCTCACCCTGAAGCTGGGGCACAGAGGGGCTGAGGTCAGTGGGAACCCCAACCCTGAGCTCCTGAGGGGCTCAGGGGGTCAGGATGGACCCAGAAGAGCAGGGCAGGGGTGGGCAGGGTGCAGGGTGGGTTTGGGGTACTCACATCACAGCCTGGTGCGGGCACTCGGGGCTGGTGGGGTAGCAGGCCACCACGTTGTCCCTCTTGATCCTCCTGGTCTGGAAGTTGAAGCAGCACTTGTCTGGCATGGCTGGAGCTCCTGGGGGGGCAGCACAAGCCTGGCTCAGCCTGGAGACCCCCAGCCCCTCCTCACCCTCCTGCCATGGCAGTGGCGGCTCTTTGGGGGGATCCCCATGTGCTCTGCGCATGAAGCAAACCTGACCCCACAGCCCTGGGTTCTGTCCCCATTTCCCATCCCTGGGTTCTGTCCCCCCATCCCTGGGTTCTGTCCCCATCTCCAGCCCTAGGTTCTATCCCTGTTCCTCTCATCCCTGGGTTCTGTCCCTGTCCCCCATCCCTGGGTTCTGTCCCCATTCCCCATTCCTGGTTTCTGTCCCCATTTCCCATCCCAGGGTTCTGTCCCCATTCTTGGTTTCTGTCCCCATTTCCCATCCCAGGGTTCTGTCCCCNTCAGCCTGGATTTAGAGGCCATTTTTTTATGGGATTTCCCTCTTTGGGAGCTGCCTTGGCTGGAGGGGCAGGAGAGGGCAGTGAGAGCCAAGCCGGGATGGGTTTTCCCTGTGCTGTGGCCAGGACATGAGGGATGGTGGATGTTGTCGTCTGATTGCAGGGGTTCCACACTGTTATCTCCTTATCACAAAAGTTCCAAACCTTCTTGGTGTTCCTTGTGGGCAGCTCCTCAGAGCACTGACTCTTTCTTCTTCCAGGGATGTTCCAAGGGATATTCCAAGGGATATTCCAAGGATGTTCCAAGGGATGTTCTGAGGGATATTCCAAGGATGTTCCAAGGGATATTCCAAGGGATGATGCAAGGGATATTCCAAGGGATATTCCATGGGATATTTCAAGGATGTTCCAAGGGATGTTCCGAGGGATATTCCAAGGGTGTTCCAAGGGATGTTCCAAGGGATATTCCAAGGGATGATGCAAGGGATATTCCATGGGATATTTCAAGGATGATCCATGGGATATTCCAAGGATGTCCCGAGGCATATTCCTAGGATATTCCAAGGGACGTTCCAAGGGACGTTCCAAGGGATGTTCCAAGGGATGCTCCACTGGGTGTTCTAAGGGATGTTGCAAAGGATGTTGCAAGGGATCTTGCAAGGGATATCCCAAGGGACGTTCCAAGGAATATTCCAAGGATATTCCAAGGATGTTCCAAGGGATATTCCAAGGGATATTCAGCTGGCTGCTGAAACCACTGCCACCAGCCCAAGCTGGGCTTTATTCCCCACTCCTGCTTTCCATGGATTTCATTTTGATTTTGATGGAAATTGATTTATTTTTTCCCCCCCACCACAGCACGCAGAGCTGGCTGAGCAGCAGCAACGATCCTGGGGGGGACCCTCACCCTTCACAGTGAATCCAGCCATCCCCAAATCTCCTTTAACACCAAACCCAGCCCATTCCCCGCCGTGCCCCGGGGGGACGGGCATTTCTCGGGATCACTGGGGTATAAAATCCCTCCTGGGTCGGGAGGGGAGCGGGGCTGGGCGTGCAGGACCTGCTGAGCCCTGCCCCGCTCCCAGATCTGGGCCATTCACCACCACTCGAGACTTTTAGCGCCCCGAGCAACGGCGTGTTCTGCTGATGAGTTCTTTCTGCTCCAGTAATTACAGTGAGGAATTTGTCAGAACGAGCTTTCGAAAAGCCTCCTCGTCTTGTTCTGATTTTACCTGGAGTGTAAAAAGTCATTAGTACAGTAAAACACAGGCTGGGCTCGGGCGGAGAGCGCGGCACACTCAATATGCACCAAAAAAAAAAAAAAAAAAATTAAAAAAAATTAAATTATTGTTTTTCTCTTCTCCTCAGATGGAGTTTTCTCTCATTGGAGTTAGCAGGATGAGGAGGTGAGGCTGGAAGGTGGCTGGGCATGGTGGGATGTACTTTGTCTTTCCTGGGGTCTGCTGGTCCCCTCTGTTAGGAAAATTAATCCACAAACACCAGAGATTTATGTCCAAAAAGGGGACAGAGGAGTCCTTTTACTTTATTCCAATAAAGGGAGAGGCCATGGGGCATTCCCCTGGGATCTCTCACATTTTTGGAGGATGCAGCCTCCTTTTTATCCCAATTTCCCAGCCACATTTCCCTTCTCTCTTTCCCCACTGGCTGAGGTACCTGAGAGGTTCAGACTTCCCAAAACACCTGATAATAAAGATTTCCTAGAGATTCCCTTCTAATGTATAACCTTCCCTTTTAATTTTTAATTCTTACTCAATTTAGGGGTTTTTCTTCCCCATTGTTTCTTTCATCTCTCAATGTCTAATTTCGTTTATCAGCAAACCTAAAGTTTATTTGCAAAAGCAAATATCTTTTCCCATTCATCAATCACTGAAATTATCCCCACTGTTTCTTTTCTCTCCCAGTGCTGCTTTTATCTACCAGCAGACCCACAGCTTGTTTGTAAAGACAAATCCGCTATTCCTCTCACCTCTGTCCCTGCTATTGGGGACAATTTTTGGTTTCACCCTCTCCCAGCAGCTTCTCTGGAGCTTGGGCTGTCCCTAGAGAGCAAATCCAGTGGAAAACTCAGCGGGTTGATGTCCTGGATGGCCTGGGGCTGACAGAGAGCCCAGGGTGGGGAAAACCCCTCCTGATCCCAGCATGGCCTGGAAATAGCAGCAGTCGTGGTTTCAGAGCCTTGGGGCTCGGGTTTCGGGATATTAACAGATGTCAGCCGGAGTCTGGGGAGCTCAGGCTTGAAATGAGCCAGGAGAAAGAAAAAAAAAATCATATCAATAGCACAAAAAAATGTGGAGCTGAGGACGGGAGGAGTCGTGGAGTGGGTGTCAGCAGCCTCCCTATTTTTGGTAGGGAGATGCAGCCCTCTGGGAAGGTGTTAAAAAACAGGGTTTTAAAAAACTTTACAGCCAAAAAATAATCAAAATTTAGCAAAGTATAGGTGGGGTAAAGAGGATTTTCTCATCCAGAGCTCTGCTCCATCTGCCTCTGTGGCACCACATCCATTCCTGGTGCTGCTTTGTCCCTGTTCTGCCGAAAACTGATGGGAACTTCCACCCCCATGGCTTTTGGGGTTTTTAATTTTTTAATAGGTTTGAAAAAAGAGACATATCAGTCTTGGGCCCTAATCAAAGCATTTTGGGTTGTATTTAATTAAATGATAACTTTGAGGGCTGAAGGAAGGGATGTGAGAGGGGCTGCTTGGATTTCAGGGCATTTCCAGCATCCCTGAAGGCAACTTGGAAGTGGAGAAGGGATTTCAGGACAAAGCTTCTCTCTCTGCCAGTGTGAAACCCAAACTTGTCAGATTTCCTCTTTCTTTATTTCATGAACAACTGGTCCAAGTTTGATGCTTTTGGTGTCCTCAAATCTGGTTTTAGGGCCCAGAAATCCTGGGGATTGGGAGAATATTCCCTGGAGACTCCCAGGTGCCAGGCTGGAGTTTTGGATGCTTAGGGAATTATTTTAATTTTTAAATTAAAATAATTTAAAAATGATATAATATAATATAATATAATATAATATAATATAATATAATATAATATAATATAATATAATATAATATAATATAATATAATATAANTGGTTTCTGTCCCCATTTCCCATCCCAGGGTTCTGTCCCCATTCTTGGTTTCTGTCCCCATTTCCCATCCCAGGGTTCTGTCCCCCCAGCCCAGGGTTCTGTCCCCATCCCCAGGTCCTGTCCCCATCCCCATCCCTGGGTTCTGTCCCCATCCCTGGGTTCTGTCTCTGTCCCCATCCCCGGGTCCTGTCCCCATCCCCAGCCCCTGGGCTGGGGGCAATGCTCACTCTGAGCCAGGCTGTGCCAGCACAGCGTGCAGAGGATGAGGAGGGCACAGAGCACCCTGGATGCTGTCCCCATGCCGGGCTGTGGCAGTGGCTGAGCCGCCTGTGCTGGGGCCAGCCTGCCCCGGCTGCTTTTATGGGGGATCCATGGGGGAGGGCCTGGCCCCTGCCACGTCCCAAAGCACACAGGGAAAGTGATACTTCATCCCCTCATCCCCTCCCCAGCCCTGGGAAAGGAAGAATGTGCTCCCAGGCCGTGCTTCTGGCACTGATGTGCTTGGGATTTTTCCTGAGCTCCAGTCCTGAGTGCTGGGGCTGATGGACAGGCTGTTCCCAAAGCTTGGCTCTGCACCCTGAGCCCCTGGGCAGGCTGTGTCCAGGCCTCGTGGAGGGGAGCTGAGAGGGTTTGGGGATGTCCTTTGGATGGCTCAAGGGACAGGCAGGGTCTGCCATGGTGCCTGTCCTCCCCCTGCCCTGCAGTTTTGTACTCTGGCCCTTGGGACCACCAGCCAAAAATCCCTTTACTCCTCCACCACAAAATAAACAGCCATAGAGAAACCACAAATCATAGAGAAACAGCTTCTGCCTGGTTGCATCAGGCACACAAACCTCTCTGTGCATTTTTGGGGGTGTTTGGGGCCCAGGGGGAGGACGGGCAGGTGGCTGCACTTCCCCGCTCTCGGTGCCAAAGCAGCAGCTCATGTTCTTGGCCGTGCTGGGCTGGGAAAGGGAGGCCAGAGAGGGAATCCCTGGTGGATTTGGCCTGGCTGCAGCTGTCAGAAAAACCCCTTCTCCCCCCAGCCCTGCAGATCCCAGGGCGCTTCCCAGCTGCCTGCAGCTGGCGCAGGAAGGGGAGCAGTGGGAGAGGCGGAGGCTGTGCTGGGAACGCTGAGAGATCCTGGGGTGATGGGGACACAGCCCTGCACAGAACCACAGATCCACCAGGCTGGAGGAGACCTTAAAGATCGAGTTAAACTCAACCCAAACCCCTCAGCTAAACCCTGGCACCCTGTGCCACATCCAGGCTTTGTTAAACACCCCCAGGGATGGGGACTCCACCACCTCCCTGGGCAGCCATTCCAGAACTTCATCACTCTTTCTGTAATGAACTTTTTCCTAATATCCAACCTATATTTCCCTTCATGCAGCTTGAGACTGTGTCTTGGTCTGCCTTGGGGTGCTGCTCCTGGAAGGGGAATGTGTGAGGTGTTCACAGGGGTCTGAGGATGAGGGAAGAGACGAAGATCTGACTCCATGTTTCAGAAGGCTGATTTATTTTTTTATGATATATATTACATTAAAACTATACTAAAAGAATAGAAGAAAGGTTTTCATTAGAAGGCTAGCTAAGAATAGAAAAAGAAAGAATGATAACAAAGGTCTGTGGCTCAGGCTTTCTGTCCAAGCCAGCTGGGCTGTGATTGGCCATTAATTAGAAACAACCACATGAGACCAATCACAGATGCACCTGTTGCATTCCACAGCAGCAGACAATCAATGTTGACATTTTTTCCTGAGGCCTCTGAGCTTCTCAGGAGGAAAAATCCTAAGGAAAGGATTTTTCATAAAAGATGTCTGCGACAGGAATGGGAATTCACTCTTCTCCAAAGCCACTTCCCAGAAATCAGCCTCAGTTTTTTTGGGATGACAGTGAGGTGCCAGGGGACACCCCAAGGGTGGTGGGAGCAGATAATTGGGGTTTGTCTTTGTCTGGCAGAGCTGAGCACCTTTTGTCATCGCCCAAATTCCCAATTCATCTCTCCTGGGAGAGCAGAGACGTCTCTGGCTCTGCTCTGGCCCAGCCCTTGGCTCGCCTTTCCCTGACTGGATCCATCTTTCCCCTCATCCCTTTTCCTACCCCCACGCACCGCAGAGCTCCTGCTGCAGCTGGGGCAAACAGGCCCTCTAAGGGTAGAAAATGTTCCCTGGAAAACAAAAGGAAGGGGAACAGACAGGGTTTATTGGCCTGGGAAAACCCCTGTTGATGATTCCAAGGTAAAATTCCAAATGCAGCAGGCAAAGAAGGCTGGGAATGACATTCCCAGCTCATCGATATTTGATGCAGAGAAGGGCAGGGACATGGGCAGAATCTCTGCTCTGGGGTGGCCCCAAAAGTCCTCTGATCCCACAGATTATCTGGGCTGGAAAACATCTTTTTCCTCCCTTTATTCCCCTGTTTCTGTTGCTATAGGACATGAAATAAAACAACAGAGACATCCAGCTCTGTAAAGTAAAAAAGAAGAAAGTTTAATTTCTAACTTTAATATTTACAGATTTCCAAAAGTGACAGCGGATTAGGAGATGACAGTGCTACCTCTCCAATGGCACTAAATAAATTAACAGCTTATTAAAACTATTATCAAATTTTAATATTATTAAAATTTATATTAAATTATTATTAAATTTTTCTTCCTCCATAAAAAAATACAAAGCAATAAGCCATTTACGTGGAATGCGTAAAAAAAAATTCGTTACAAAAATACAAACATCAGAAGGCTTAGAAAAAATTAAAGAAAAAACAAAACAATATGGTTTCTTGGGGGCTCTGTTCTTGCACTCCTAGCTCTGGGTGTGAGACTGGGACACACAGGGATAGCCCGGGACAACCCGGGACAGCCCGGGAATGTCGCTCCCCCCGGGGCAGAGCTGCTTTTCCACCCTGATGCTTTATCGATGTTTTATTTCCCTCTCAGCTGATCAATAACCCCCGGGGCAGCTGCTGCAGCTGGGGCAGCCAAAGGGAGCAGAGCTGCTTTGTCAGGTCAGGGCTGTTTCTAACAAGGAATTGTTTGATTTCTTCTTCTCTCTCTTTTTGATTTCTTCTTCTCCCTTTTCAGGCGTGGTCGGGTCAGCTTTTCCATCTCACGCTGAGGTAACCGCTGAATTCACACCCCCTTCGTGCTATTTCCTTTTTTAAAAGTCCTTGTCCGGCCCCAGCCACGCAGGACTTCCCCAGCTGCTGCAGAGATGGTTTCTGTCACCAAAAAAATGTCCCCAAAAATAGGTGTCCCCTTTGTCCACTTGTTAAAAACGCCAGTCATTTGTTTTTAAAATTTTGAAAGTTTAATAGTAATAAAATGGTTATAAAAATAGTAATACAATTAGAGTAATAATAATTTTGGACAATTTGAATTAGGACAAATATGAGACAACAAGTACAGCACGAGCCCAAAAAAGGACCCACGTTAACAAAGGATTAACCCTTAAAAGCAACAGCCTGTTGCATATTCATACACTTCATACATAATGCATAAATTCCATTCAAATACAGAATTCTGTCTGGTCATCATCAACTTCTTCCTCCAAATCCTAACAGCACCTTTGAGGTGGGAAGAAGTTCATTTCTTCTGATAAGAGAGCAATAAATTCATTTTCTCTGAAAGATTTAGGTGTCCTGTGATTGATATCTCGCAGCGAACCCTTTCTTTAAAAAAAGCATCCTACATAGCATAGTTTCTATTTTAACAATTTTTATAACCTAAAACCAGATTTAACACAGTACTTAAGATAATTAATACAGCATTACTTTCTAAAACAACACATATAATATTAATTTTAATATTTGCGAAAAGCCAACCATAAAATACATGCATTTTTCACACCACCCACATCCCTGCAGAGCCCAGCTGGATTCTGCTCCCAGACAGCAGAAAGTGGAGATGTTTTGGGGTATTTTTTTGTCCAAGGCATTGCCTGGCACCCAGCTGGCCTGAGGCTCCTTCCTCCTATGGGATTGAGATGGAATGAGTGCTGCCATCCTTTTCCAGGGGAGATTTCACCAGGAAAATCACAGCTAAATCCAATTTCAGACATGTTGATGCTGTGGGAGGAATGCTGGGCATGCCACAGGTGTTGCTGGAAGGAGAAGCTGCCCCAAGCTTGGACCAGCCCATGTCACCCTCACCTCCCTAATTCAGGCTCAGGAAAAGGTTGGGAGTGATGTTCCCACCTGTGGGAAGTGGAAACACCGTGAGAAACATGGCATTGTGCGGCTTTGGTGTGACTCTCTGGGGGTTTGGGCTCCTCTCTTGATTTTGGAGCTGTGTCCCCACATCCCGCTGGCCTAGAGGGAGAGTAGCCCCAAAGGGAAGGGGTTTGAGCCCAAAACAGTGGTGGGGACCTCAGAGAGGTGAAAAGTTCCCGTTTGGGATGACAGACTCTGTCCCCATCTCCTGAGGGAAGGGGTTTGGTTGTTGTCCCCTTGTCCCTGGACACAGGGAAGGGGTTTTGGGGTTGACCCCTCGTCCCTGAGCACTGGGCAGGGGTTTTTGGGGTTGTCCCATTGTCCCTGGGCACAGGACGGGGGTTTTGGGGCTATCTCGTTGTCCCTGGGCACAGGGAAGGGATTTGACATTTGCCCCCTTATCTCTGGGTGCAGGAGAGGGGTTTGGTGGTTGTCCCATTGTCCCTGGGCACAGGGAAGGGGTTTTGGGGTTGTCCCCTCATCCCTGGGCACAAAATGGGGGTTTGTGGTCGTCCCCTTATCCCTGGGCACAGGAGAGGGGTTTGGTGGCTGTCCCCTTGTCCCTGGCCACATGGAAGGGATTTTATGTTTGTCCCATTGTCCCTGGGCACAGGACAGGGGTTTTGGGGTTGTCCCCTTATCCCTGGGCACATGGAAGGGGTTTTGGGGTTCTCCCCTTGTCCCTGGCCATTCCACCCTCTCTCGGCTGTCCCGAGCTGAACTCTCCCCGTTCCCCGCACCTCTCCGGGTGCTCGCTGACTCATTTCCCGTGTCCTTTGGCCCCGGCATCCTGGCTGCCCCCGCAGGGACGGCCCCGGCTCCTCCAACGCTGATTTCACACCCAACTCCTCTGCCTGAGATTGCCATCAGGGCTGGGCTGCTCGGGCTGAGCAGCCCTGGCCTTTGAAAACCCCGAGTTCAGAACTCAGATAAACCCAAAGCCTCCTCTGATGCCTGATCTGCGCCCCGATTCCTGATCTGTACCCCCATTCCTGATCTGTACCCCTATTCCTGATCTACAGCCCCATTCCTGATCTGCACCCCCACTCCTGATCTGTACCCCCATTCCTGATCTGTACCCCCATTCCTGATCTGCATCCCAGTTCCTGATCTGTACCCCT